CACAACTGGACCAATTATCAACATCATGATAAATGGAGAAAAGATTGAAGTTGTCAAGGATTTCATTTTACTTGGATCCACAATCAACGCCCATGGAAGCAGCAGTCAAGAAATCAAACGACGTATTGCATTGGGCAAATCTGCTGCCAAAGACCTCTTTAAAGTGTTGAAAAGCAAAGATGTCACTTTAAGGACTAAGGTGCGCCTGACCCAAGCCATGGTGTTTTCAATTGCCTCATATGTATGCAAAAGCTGGACAATAAATAAGTCAGATCGAAGAAGAACTGACACCTTTGAATTGTGGTGTTGGTGAAGAATATTGAATATACCATGGACTGCCAAAAGAATGAACAAATCTGTCTTGGAAGAAGTACAACCAGAATGCTCCTTACGAGCAAAGATGGCAAGACTACATCTCACATACTTTGGACATGTTGTCAGGAGGGATCAATCCCTGGAGAAGGACATCAAGCTTGGTAAAGTAGAGGGTCAGAGAAAAAGAGGAAGACCCTCAGTGAGACGGATTGACACAGTGGCTGTAACAGTGGGCTCAAGCATAGCAACAATTATGGGGATGGCACAAGACCAGGCAGTGTTTCGTTCTGTTGTACGTAGGGTCGCTATAGGTCAGAGCCGACTCGACGGCACCTAACAACAACAACAACCAATTGTACCAACTCCCAAGTGGCAGGCCATAGCTGAAATGAAAAGCATACAGCCACACTAAATGGTCTCCCTAAGTTCATAATACCTTACCTCAAGTGGGCCCGCAGCACTGTTTGAGCATCATACTGCTACATTTCCCCTGATCCATTCACTCTCCTTCTCCTCAAAACAGTTATACTGTTTCACACATTGTTGGCCATTCATCAAACCTTCAATACCTCATGTTTCCACGCACCACAGGACATCATACCAGATGCGGAGCCACCAAAGGTCTTGAGGCATCTTCTTCCAGGGCCACAGAGGCATGCTGGGGCGGTATTATGGCATGGGCAGAATACTTGGGCTTAAACTTGGCCCGTCAGGACTTACACCTGGCAATGCAGGTGCAGCTACCCCAACGTACAGTCATACACAGACTCCTGAACCACACACTCGTCCTCGGGCGCCAAGTCAGGTATTCTGAATCTCCTGGTGTTCTGAATCTGCTGTTGCTTCTGGATGAGGCCCGTCAATCCTAGTGCCCGCTGGCAGAGTACCCCTAGACCCCAGAGAGGCTGACTTTATCGTGGGGACCACCCACTCACACATTGAGAGTGGCCTTTGGCTGCTGAGAGTTCATAGTAAAAGTGGGAGGGTCTCCTGCACTGCTCTGTTGGAGATGCCCCTCTCTCAGTTGCATAGATGTTGTAGACTAAGATGGGGTGTAGCTATAGTCCCTGAATGCCTTGGGCTGGTCTGGAATCCCAGGAATCATTATGTAGCTATGAGGAGTTGCTAGAAGAATGTTACAATAGAAGCATAGGTATTATGGTCAGTGTCTTTAAATATTTTCTACTTCTGTTCACCGAAATGTACTTATAAGCGATGACATTTCATTAGCAATGAGCACATACAGTGCCCAGATTTTTATCTTCAATACTATTCCCCGCTGAAAAGAGTCAGGGCTCCTTCGACCTGTTGTCATCGAATTGACTCCAACTCATGGCGGCCCCATGTGTGTCAGAGTAGAGCTGTGCTCCATAGGATTTTCAATGGCTGATTTTTCAGAAGTAGATTGCCAGGCCTTTCTTGCAAGGCACCTCTGGGTGGACTACAACCTTTCAGTTAGCTGCTGAGCATGTTAACCATTTGTACCACCCAGAGACTGCAGGGTTATACTAGACTTCTATTTTGTTGATCTTTATATCCCTAGCTTGTAGCTGAGTTTCGTAAAGAATAAGTACTCAGTAAATATTTGTTGAATAAATGAGTGAATGTTTCTATGCTGTATTATAACTATCCCTTTATGTGTCTGGTCCCTCACTAGACTGTTAGCCCTCCAGGGAAGAATCTAGTTAATTTTTAAAAAATATCTGTATCTTATCCCTCCCTGACCTTCATCAGTGGCTATCAAAGAGTTTGGGACAAAGTATATATTCAGTACATGTTTATTGAGTTGAATTGACTTGAATTAGGTAAAATGAGGAAAAGAATGGAAGCAATGTGTTATTGGCTAGCAAAATCTGGAGATCTTAGCAAGAAACTGGTTCTCATCACTTATGTAGAATCTATTGTTGAAAATAAGCTTTATATGTTTCCTCGAGTGGACAACGGGCATAGAAAGGACAATTTTATCCTTCTCGCTTTAGGAGCTGAGTATGATGATAAGACCAGCCAAAGAGAGAAAGAAGATGATAAAGTCATACCTGGTGAGAGCCATACCTACATCTGGCAGGTCCTGAAAGAGAATGGTCCAATGGCCTCTGACCCACCATGTCTTACCTACTCATATCTTTCTCATGTGGACCTGGTGAAAGACCTGAATTCAGGGCTCATTGGGGCTCTGCTGGTATGTAGAGAAGGTAAGTGTAAGAAAGAGTAGGATTAAGATGAAATAAGCAACAAGTTCAAACAGCTGGGTCTATTCATAAAAGATAACATTTATATTTTTTCATCTGAATAAGGTTTCTTTTCTCTTGCATCATGTCCATGGATAGGAGAATAATCCAGTCTCTGAGAGGAGCAGATGCCCGTCCTATGTAGCCAAAAAGCACTCTAAGCTGAAGTCAAGAATACGCAAGTTCCAGAATTAGGCACCTCTTTTCAAAGCATTGCTACTTTCTGCTTCAAATCTCCTGGGGGCAATTCAATAGAGGAAGGACAATCTGTTTAACAAATGGTGTTGGAACAATTGTACATCCATATGCACAAAATGGGCCTTGACCTAAACCTTCTTATACAAAGATTAACTCAAAATGAATTATAGATATAAATGTAAAACCATTAAAACTTAAAACTTTTATAAAGCATAGGAGAAAATCTTCAAGACCTGTAATTAGGAGGATTTTGAGAAGACCAAAAACACAATCCATGAAAGAAAAAAAAATATAAATTGGACTTCATCAAAATTAATACCTTTTACTTTGTAAAAGACATTTATAAGATAGTAAAAAGACAAGCCACACCTGGGAGGAGATATTTGCCAAACAGATACATGACAAGGGACTTTTATACAAAATACGTACAATGCTCTCAAAACTCGACAATAAGAAAACAAACAACCCAATTCTTTAAATGGACAAAAAGATTTGAAGAGATACTTCACCAAAGAAGATATACAGATGGCAAATAAGCACATGAAAAGACACTCAACATTACTGGTCATTGTTGTTGTTGGGTGTCATGAAGTCAGTTCCGACTCATAGCAACCCTGTGTACAGCAGAATGGAACACTGCCCGGTCCTGTGCCAGGCTCACGATCATTGCTATGTTTGAGCCCCTTGTTGCAGCCACTATATCGACCCATCTCGTTACAGTCTTCCTCTTTTTCACTGACCCTTCTCTAGGGACTGGTCCCTCCTGATAACATGTCCAAAATACATGAGAGTAAGTCTCACCATCCTCGCTTCCAAGGAGCATTCTGGCTAAACTTCCAAGACAGATTTGTTCGTTCTTCTGGCAGTCCATAGCATATGCAATATTCTTCTCCAACACTATAATTCAAAGGCATCAATTCTTCTTTGGTCTTCCTTATTCACTGTCCAGCTTTTGCATGCATATGAGGCGATCTAAAATACCATGGCTCGGGGCAGGCGCACCTTAGTTCTCAAGGTGACGACTTTGCCTTTGAACTCTTTGAAGAGGTCTTTTGCAGCACATTTGCCCAGTGCAATACCTCTTTTGATTTCTTGACTGCTACGTCCATGGGCATTGATTGTGGATCCAAGTAAAATGAAATCCTTGACAACTTCAGTCTTTTCTCTGTTTGTCATGATGTTGCTTATCGATCCAGTTCTGAAGATAGTTCTGTTTTCTTTATGTTGAGGTGTAATCCATACTGGAGGCTGTAGTCTTTGACTTTTATCAGTAAGTGCTTCAAGTCGTCTTCGCCTTCAGCAAGCAAGATTGTGTCATCTGCATATTGCAGGCTGTTAATGAGCCTTCCTTCAGTTCTGATGCCGTGTTCTTCTTCACATGGTCCAGCTTCTCAGATTATTGCTCAGCATATAGATTGAATAAGTGTGGTGAAAGGATACAACCCTGATGCATACCTTTCCTGATTTTAAACCACAGAGTATCCTCATGCTGTGCTTGAATGACTGCCTCCTGGTCTATGTTCAGGTTCCTCATGAGCACAATTAAATGTTCTGGAATTCCCATTCTTTGCTATGTTACCCATAAGTTGTTATGATCCACACAGTCGAATGCCTTTGCGTAGTCAATAATACACAGCTAAACATCTTTCTGGTATTCTCTGCTTTTAGCCAGGATCCATCTGACATCAGCAATGATACCCTTCGTTCCACGTCCTCTTCTGAATTCAGCTTGAATTTCTGACAATTCGCTGTCGATGTACTACTGCAACTGTTTTTGAATTATCTTCAGCAAAATTTTACTTGGTGTGATATTAAACATATTGTTCCATGATTTCCACATTCTGCTGGATCAACTTTCTTTGGAATGGGCACAAATATGGATCTCTTCCAGTGGGTCGGCCAAGTAGCTGTCTTCCAAATTTCTTGGCATAGGCAAGTGAGCACCTCCAGCGCTGCATCCATTTGTTCAAACATCTCAGTTGGTATTCTTTCAATTCCTGGAGCCTTGTTTTTCACTAATGCCTTCAGTGCAGCTTGGACCTCTTCCTTCAATACCAATGGTTCTTGATCATATGCTACCTCCTGAAATGGCTGAGTGTCAACCAATGCTTTTTGGTACAGTGACTGTGTATTCCTTCCATTTTCTTTTGATGCTTCCTGCATCATTCAATATTTTCCCCGTGGAATCCTTCAAAATTGCAACTTGAGGCTGGACTTTTTTCTTCAGTTCTTTCAGCTTGAGAAATGCTGAGCGTATTCTTCCCTTTTGGTTTTCTAACTCCAGGTCTTTGCACATTTCATTATAATACTTTACTTTGTCCTCTCAATCCACCCTTTGAAATCTTCTGTTCAGCCCTTTTACTTCATTATTTCTCCCATTTGCTTCAGTTACTCTACGTTTAAGAACAAGTTTCAGAGTCTCTTCTGACATCCATTTTGGTCTTTTCTTTCTTTCCTGTCTTCTTAATGACCTTTTGCTTTCTTCATGTATGATGTCCTTGATGTCATTCCACAACTCGTCTGGTCTTTGGTCATTAATGTTCAATGCATGAAATCTATTTCTGAGGTGGTCTCTAAATTCAGGTGGGAGATACTCAAGGTCATACTTTGGTTCTCATGGACTTGTTCTAATTTTCTTCAGCTTCAGCTTGAACTTGCAGAAGAACAGGGTGGACAAGTTTCACCTGAGCTTCTAGACTAGGACAGACTAGGAAGAAGGACCTGGCAGTGTACTTCTGAAAAAAAATTAGCCAGCGAAACACCTTATCGTATTGTCTGATATAGTGCTGGAAAATGAGCCCTCCAGGTTGGAAGGCATTCAAAATACAACTGGGGAGGAGCTGCCTCCTCAGAGTAGTCAACCTTAATGAGGTGGATGGAATCAAGCTTTCGGAACCTTCATCTGCTGATGTGGTATAACTCAAAATGAGAAGAAACAGCTGCAAACATCCATTAATAATTGGAATGCGGAATGTACGAAGTATGAATCTAGGAAAATTGGAAGTCATCAAAAAATGAAATGGAATGCATAAACATCAATATCCTAGGCATTAGTGAGCTGAAATGAATTGGTATTAGCCATTTTTGAACTGGACAATCATATGGTCTACTATGCTGGGAATGACAACATGAAGAGGAATGGCGTTGCATTTATCGTCAAAAAGAACATTTCAAGATCTATCAAGGAAGACCAGTTAATATGACTATTATTCAAATTGACACACCAACTATTAATATCAAAGATGAGGAAACTGAAGATTTTTACCAACTTCTTCAGTCTGAAATTGATCAAACATGCAATCAAGATGCACTGATAATTACTGGTAATTGGAATGCAAAAGTTGGAAACAAAGAAGGATCGGCAGTTGGAAAACATGGCCTTGGTGATAGAAACAATGCTGGAGATCGCATGATAGAATTTTGCAAGATCCACAACTTCTTCATTGCAAATATCTTTTTTCAACAACATAAACGGAGACTATACATATTATCAAACGGTATCATTAATATCACACGCAAGTAAGATTTTGCTGAAGATCATTCAAAAACAGTGGCAGCAGTACATCGACAGGGGACTGCCAGAAATTCAAGCCAGATTCAGAAGAGGACATAGAATGAAGAATACCATTGCCGATGTCAGATGGCTCTTGGCTGAAAGCAGAGACTACCAGAAAGATGTTTACCTGTGTTTTATTGACCATGCAAAGACATTCGACTGTGTGGATCGTAACAAATTATCGATATCATTGGGAAGAATGGGAATTCCAGTACACTTAATTGTGCTCATGAGGAACCTGTATTTAGACCAAGAGCAGTCGTTCAAACAGAACAAGGGGATACCGAGTGGTTTAAAGTCAAGAAAAGTGTGCATCAGAGTTGTATCCTTTCACCATACTTATTCGATCTGTATGCTGAGCAAATAATCTGAGAAGCTGGACTATATGAAGAAGAACGGGGCATCAGGATTGGAGGAAGACTCATTAACAACCAGGGATATGCAACTGACACAACGTTGCTTGCAGAAAGTGAAGAGGACTTGAAGCACTTACTGATGAAGATCAAAGACCACAGCCTTCAGTATGGATTACACCTCAACATAAAGAAAACAAAAATCCTCACAACTGGTCCAATAAGCAACATCATGATAAACGGAGAAAAGATGGAAGTTGTGAAGGATTTCATTTTACTTGGATCCACAATCAACATCCATGGAAGCAGCAGTCAAGAAATCAAAAGATGCATTGCATTGGGCAAATCTGCTGCAAAAGACCTCTTTAAAGTTTTGAAAAGCAAAGATGTCACTTTGAGGACTAAGGTGTGCCTGATCCAAGCCACGGTATTTTCAATTGCCTCATATGCATGCGAAAGCTGGACAGTGAATAAGGAAGACGGAAGAAGAATGGATGCCTTTGAATTATGGTGTTGGAGAAGAATCTTGAATATACTATGGACTGCCAGAAGAACGAATAATTTTGTCTTGAAAGAAGTACAGCCAGAGTGCTTTTTGGAAGCAAGGATGACAAGATTTTGGCTCACATACTTCAGACATGTTATCAGGAGGGACCAGTCCCTGGAGAAGGACATCATGCTTGGTAAAGTACAGGGTCAGCAGAAAAGAGGAAGACCCTCAAAGAGATGGATTGACACAGTGGCTGCAACTATGGGCTCAAGCATAACAACGATGGTGAGGATGGTGCAGGACTGGGCAGTGTTTTGTTCTGTTGTACATAGGGTCGCTATGAGTTGGAACTAAATCGAAGTCACCTAACAATAACAACAATAATTTTTTATGTCTTGTTAATTTCATATTTTTAGTAATTTACTTTTATTGTATTTTACAAATGTATTGGTCTGCAACAAATTTGAAACAAGGAAATGGTCTTTTATTCCAGATAGTGGCCATTTCCTATAATGAGCTTTTATATAAAAGATAAATCACTTCTTTTCCAGGGAGTCTGGCCAAAGAAGGGACACAGACTTTGCAGGAATTTGTACTACTTTTTGCTGTATTTGATGAAGGTTAGTGAACTTTAGTTTGAATTTTGGGCTTCTGAAAAAAATCAGATATATTAACTTAATCCAGTACTGGAAATTGTGGGATGTTATTGTCTGGAGGCGGTGATTATAGAAAGATCATAAGCTACTTTACTGTTCAGGAGTGAAGGAGATGGGGATGAAAATGAATTCCAAGAAAAAAAAATGGAGCCTCAGTTCCACTGGCAGCTATGAGATAAGAAGACAGGAGGGTTGGGTAACAGGCTGCTCTCATCCCCCTCTTTAAATTCATCAGTAAAGCCTTTTGACTCTACTTTCTGAATAGCTTCTCTTCTCTTTATCTCTTACTAAGTGTGTGGCATTTGACAAGTTACTTAACCTATTCGTGCCTCAGTTTGTTGTAGTATAAGTGAAAGTTTACCTTTCAAGTTAGTCTTGCATATAAAAATTTACACACACATTGTTACGTGACCCTAGTTGCCCCCCTATACTGTGACAGCACACTCCTCCTTTCCACCCCGGATTTCCCGTGTCCATTCAACCAGCTCCTGACCCTCTCTGCCTTCTCGTCTCGCCTCTGGACAGAAGCTGCCCATTTAGTCTCGGGTGTCTATTTGAACTAAGAAGCATACTCTTCATGAGTATCATTTTATGTCCCATAGTCCAGTCTAATCTTTGTCTGAAGAGTTGGCCTCGCGAATATGAAAACAAATTCTTAAGGTGTAAGCAGTCTGCACCCCACAGGAGGAAGAGAAGGGAAGAGGGAGGGCCAGTCAGCAGACAGACACTTATCTGGCACTATCTTTGCCTCCTCTCTCATCAGGGAAAAGCTGGCACTCAGAAGCAGGTGAATCCTCGGCACAGGGTGTGGATTCTGCATCTACTCTGCCCTGGCCTAAAATGTACACAGTTAATGGCTATGTAAATAGGTCTCTGCCAGGTATGTACACACTTGCTCAAGACTCTTCAGTGTCTTCTGAAATCAACGCCAGAGCTCTTTTCAGGCATGCCAGAGTAAAGCCACTGAATTCTGGCCTCTTGGGAGTCTTAAAGAATAGTGGCTGATTCCTCCTCCAATCACCTGAAAATGTGCACAGAGCTCACAATCCGACTGATCTTTCCTTTTGTCTAAATATGACCAGACATTTAAGGAAAATCTGAAACATGAAAGAAATTTGAAAAGATAAAGAAAGAAAATAATAATACCAAAAGAAAGAGAGAATGCTTAGAACACAAGAGAACTTATCAAAAATTCTAATTTGTTTTTAATTAACATTCAAGAGGATGCTGCATCTCTAAGCCAATAACAAGACTATATGAAAAAGAAACAATAGAACAACATTAGAAATATGATTGTCAAAAATAAAAACTCAATAGAACATAGTAAGATAGAATAGAGAAAATCTCCCAGAAAGTAAAAGAAATTGAGAATATATTTTAAAACAGATACAAAATAAAGAATCATAAAAAGTAAGAAGAAAATGTTAAGAGTGCAAAGATATGAGTCTTCATATTCAAAGTGCCCAGCAGGCTGAATAAAACAGACTCCCCCAAAGAAAGTTATCATAGTGAAATTTCGGAGAACAAAGAATAAAGACAAGATATTTAAAGCTTCCCCTGGGAGAAACAGGTCTCATAAAAAGGAATGAGAATTAGACTGCAATATAATGGAGCAATACAGTAAAAGTTCCACCTACAATTCATAGCCAAACTGTGACTCTGCTTTGGGGAAGAATAAAGATATTTTTAGAAACAGCAGGCCTCAGAAGGCACTAAATATGAGAGATCTAGAAACCCAAGGGAATAATGAAGGATTGTCGTTGCTGTGTGCCGTCGACTCGATTCTGACCCATAGCGACCCTACAGGACAGAGTAGAACTGCCCCAGAGAGTTTCCAAGGAGCAGCTGATGGATTTAAACTGCCAACCTTTTGGTAACAGCCGAGCTCTTAACCACCGTGCCGCCAGGGCTCCAATGAAGGATTAGGAGAGAGAGACTTTCTTCTTAATTCTTTTCCATATTTTCCAGTAATTCTATAACGAGTATGCATAAATTTTAGAATTAGAAAAGAAATGAGAAATTTATTTAAAAACACGCAAGTACCTGCTCTCACAGAGCTTATAGTATAATGGAGAGACAGATAGTAATAAAAACTCATAATAATAAATGAAAACTTACAAACTGAAAATTAGGTACTCCTCTGAAAGCAAATTACATCGTTCTATGAGAACAGGAAATAAAGGAGCCTGACGTAGACTAGAGAATCGAAGAAGGCTTCCCTGAGGGTGGCAGTAGTAGTCAAGATAGTGAAAACGTTTTAGGAGCCAGAACAGAAGGCTGCTGTGGCTGGTTACCAGTGTGGGGTCTAAACATATGGCTGCTTGGGTTCAAATCCTGAGCGAATTCATTTACCTCTCTGGCATCGGTTTCCTCTCCTATAAGAAAGGGATGATAATAATAGTCTCTATGTTCATAGAGTTATTACGAGGAGTAAATGAATTAAACTTGTGAAATATGTTTGGACACTTCTTGGCACAAAAGAAGTCCTCAGTAAACATTAGCTATTAATTATATTGCCATGAGTGGTGTTGGATTGGATACGGGAGGTGGGAGAACTCTTGCTTGCGTACTTAAATACAGGATGGTGCCATTCACTGAGATAAGGAACTCTGAAAGAGGGTGAGGTGGTGAACATCACGAATTTGGTTTGGGACGTGTGGGGAGCTGTTTCAGTGAAGATGTTGAGATGGTGATTGTATGAGTCTGGAGTTGAAGGAGAGGTCTGAAACAGGAGAGTTATCAACATAAACGGTCAACAGCTGCATATATGAACAGGGCCAGCGTCTTTGGAAAGTTTGTTTCTAAGTAAATCTAACATTAAAATTTGTAAGGGCCATCTTGCACTAGCAAGTGTTTTCTATTTCAAATTCTCTACTTCTTAACCGTGGCTGTCCTATTCCTAATTTACAGGTCTGACTGGATGTCACAGGAAGTCAGTCTATTGGCATGTGATTGGAATGGGCACCACCCCCGAAGTGCACTCCGTCTTCCTCGAAGGTCATACATTTCTTGTGAGGAACCATCGCCAGGCCTTCTTGGAGATCTCACCAATAACTTTCCTTACTGCTCAGACACTCCTGATGGACCTTGGCCGGTTCCTACTGTTTTGTCATATTCCTTCCCACCAACATGGTAATATCTGTGGATCTTAAAAATGGGTATTATAAATATCCAGCTCTACTTTTAATGGGATTTACTGGATAGTGTTCAAGAATATAGTGTGTTGCCTGGAGTGGCGTTATAGAGTTAGCATTATTCCAGACCTCAACTAAGATCCCCTGGTTTCTAGTTTCCAGAGTCAAGATTGTGTCTTGAGTATTGAAGGGCTGAGTATTAGTGATAGCTGGTGAACTTGTTGTGAAATGCTTGTGATAGAGGAAGGGGAAGTGGCTTTGGGATGGGTAAGGTGGGAAAAACGAGGAAGACAGCGTGTCATTGGTTTGCCAGCCTCATCCCCTTAATTAGACTTCAGTACTATAGAAGTGTAGGTAGTAGCTGAAGAGATATTCTATGAGAAATTTAAGGAAATGAAAACAAACAACAACACTGCCTAGGTTCCAGCCATAAGGGCTCCAGGGTATCGGTAGTGATGCCCAGAGCAGTAAATAGTAGCAAATACTAGAGGGTATCACAGTGCTCAACTTTAGACACTGCACAGCTGCTGTCAGGGCCTGTAAGGAGACACGGGATGGTGGGAGAAGCAACATGGAAGTGGAAATTGGTGAGCAGACATAAGGCACCACATGAGGTTTTCAAGGACTACTCAATAGGGATTTTGCAAAGGATTGAAAGTCCTGTGTAAGAACGTTGGGACAATGGTAGCTACAGTTTCAAATTACTGTTAATGTGACCTCATTTATAGCTATAGGCTGTGAAAAATTAGACTGCATGATCATTTTACCCCCACTTCCCTTCTTACATACTTACGCTAACGCTTAATCTTAGACCAGTTTAACAACCCCCTTTCTTCACTCTTCTATTGTGGTTGTTGAGGGCTGTTGGAGAAAAATGTTGGGGAGATCTAGTCTTTCATGTTTAACACCGCTCATTTGTTCCTATTGCCCTCATATTAACGTTCTCGGCTACCTTGTTTCCCTTGGAAAAGAGATTTGTTCTTGTCCTCAATCATTTTCCCTTTATATTCTGTGAGTGAATTTATTTATAGTCCTCTGTAGTGATTAAGATCAGGGACCTCTTTTTCCCTGGTGGAGTAGTGGTTAAAGCGCGTGGCTGCTAACCGAAAGGTCAGCGGTTTGAACTCACCAGTCACTCTGTGGGAGGACGATGTGGCAGTCTGTTTCCATAATGATTTACAGCCTTGGAAACCCTACGGGGCAATTCTATCTTTACAGGGTCACTGTGAGTCAGAATCAACTCAATGGCAATGAGTTTCGTTTGGTTTTTTAGTTTTCCCATCTGCCACATACTATTTATGAGAGTTTTGACAAGACGTTAAGGGGACAGAGTGTCCTATGGGATAAGTAACAGAAAATGGATAAAATTGAAGGGGTAGGTACAAACATGATCCTGTAGGCATAGAATAGGTCATTTACTTGAATGCAGATCAGTCATAATCTAGTTTGAGCCTAACTCTATTCAAGAGAAGTTTTTTTTTTTTCTTGTTTTATTCTTTTGACAGTTTCTCTCCCACTAACTTTAATCCTCATTTCAGTAAACTGCTTTTGTCTTCTTGGACCTTGGGCAAAGCCCTTCATGTTTAGATCTAGACTGAATTATAGTTGTTTGCTGCTCCTGAAATTTGCCCTATCCCCAATCATCCAGTAAAGAAGCCTCCCTTCTTAGGAGTATTTGATCTTCAAAATAGTCCTGTAGTTAATGGATAAGGCAGGGAATACTATTATCCACATTTTAGAAAGGGTGAAGATGACACTGATCTTGTTAAATGCAACTTATCACAGGCAGACATGCTCTAAAAATATGTAATAGATTTCCTTGATTTTAAGTTGTACTTTTTTGTGTTTTTATGACTATGGACTGTGTCTTAAAATTTATATCTACACTAACATTTTTTCCTGATAGCTGTTATTAAATCAATGATTTGTGTTATAATTCAATGGAGTAAGTGTAGATGAAGTAAAAGAGCTGAACATAAGATTTGAAAGGGTGGTACAAAAAGACAAAGTAAAGTATTATAATGAAATATGCAAAACCTGAAGTTAGAAAACCAAAAGGAAAGAACATGCTTGGCATTTCTCAAGCTGAAAGAACTGAAGAAAAAATTCAAGCCTCAAGTTGCAATATTGAAGGATTCTATGAGGAAAATACTGAATGACAGGAAGTATCAAAAGAAGATGGAAGGAATACACAGACTCACTGTACCAAAAAGAATTAGTCAACATTCAACCATTTCAAGAGGTAGCATATGATCAAGAACCGATGGTATTGATGAAAGAAGTCCAAGCTGCCCTGAAGGCCTTGGTGAAAAACAAAGCTCCAGGAATCGACAGAATACCAACTGAGATGTTTCAACAAATGGATGCAGCTCTGGAGGTGCTCACTCGTCTATGCCAAGAAATTTGGAAGACAGCTACCTGGCCAACTAACTGGAAGAGGTCCATATTTATGCCTATTCCCAAGAAAGGTGATCCAACCAAATGCAGAAATTATTGAACAGTATCATTAATATCACACACGAGGAAAATTTTGCTGAAGATCATTCAAAGTGGCTGCAGCAGTATGTCGAAAGGGAACTTTCAGAAATTCAGGCCAGATTCAGAAGAGGACATGGGACCAGGGATATCATTACTGATGTCAGATGGATCTTGGCTGAAAGCAGAGAATACCAGAAAGATGCTTACCCTATTTTATTGACCATGCAAAGGCATTTGACTGTATGGATCATAACAAATTATGGATAACATTGAGAATGGGAATTCCAGAACACTTAGTTGTGCTCGTGAGGAAACTGTACATAGACCAAGAGGCAGCCGTTCGAACAGAACAAGGGGATACTGCATGGTTTAAAGTCAGGAAGGATGTGTGTCAGACTTGTATCTTTTCCCTATACTTATTCAATCTGTATGCTGAGCCAATAATCCAAGAAACTAGACTATATGAAAAATAACAGGACATCAGGATTGGAGGAAGACTCCTTAACAACCTGTGTTATGGAGATGACACAACCTTGCTTGCTGAAAGTGAAGAGGACTTGAAGCACTTACTGATGAAGATCAAAGACCACAGCCTTCAGTATGGATTACACCTCAACATAAAGAAAACAAAAATCTTCATAACTGGACCAATAAGCAACATAATGATAAACAGAGAAAAGATTGAAGTTGTCAAGGATTTCGTTTTACTTGGATCCACAATCAATACCCATGGAAGCAGCAGTCAAGAAATCAAAAGACGCATTGCATTGGGAAAATCTGCTGCGAAAGACCTCTTTGAAGTGTTAAATTAAAAAGCAAAGCTGTTACTTTGAGGACTAAGGTGTGCCTGACCCAAGCCATAGTATTTTCAATTGCTTCATATACATGCAAAAGCTGGACAGCGAATAAGGAAGACCGAAGAAGAATGGATGCCTTTGAATTGTGATGTTGGTGAAGAATATTGAATATACCGTGGACTGCCAAAAGAACGCACAGGTCTGTCTTGGAAGAAGTACAACCAGAATGCTCCTTAGAAGCAAGGATGGCGAGACTTCGTCTCTCATTCTTTGGACATGTTATCAGTCCCTGGAGAAGGACATCATGCTTGGTAGAGGGTCAGCAAAAAAAGGAAGACCCTCAATGAGATGGATTGACACAGTGGCATCAACAATGGGCTCAAATATAGCAATGATTATGAGGATGGTGGAGGACTAGACACTGTTTTGTTCTGTTGTACATAGGGTTGCTATGAGTTGGAATTGACTCCATGGCACCTAACAACAAGTCTAGAAATCATTGGGTCACCATGGGGATGGGGAGTTGGGTTACCTTGGTCTGACCTAGGTTTCCACATGCTGTAAGTATACATTCCTCAAGTCTCCTTGTTCATAATTTGGGTGTGGGGAGTGATAGACTCAGAGGCAGTTCCAGAAAGGAAATATTTATATGTATTACAACAGCAAATGAGTGAGTTTTGAAAAAGCAGTAACATATATATTAGAGGAGAATCAGGCAGAGTATGCCACAGCAGAAGGGAAATGGTGAGTGCAAAGACCAGACAGAAAGAAACGAACAAGTAGCAGATATGGGGGAAATGATCCATGTAGGAGAGTGGCAAGAAGGGGTATTGGTGTGAAGTGGAGGGGGGCACTTAAGAGAAGGCCAGAAGTCTTGACAAGAGAGAATGAAGTCATAGAAGTTAAAGCAAGAAAACCTCGTAGGAATCTGACATTGTTTGGTTTGTCTGAATGCAGATGGCATGGAAGCTTATGTCAAAGTAGAAAGCTGCCCAGAGGAACCCCAAGTACGGAAGAAAAATTATGAAGAAGAGGAAGATTATGAGAATGACGTTTATGATTCTAACATGGACGTGCTCAGGTTTGATGATGACAGCTTTTCTCCCTTTATCCAAATTCGTTCAGTTGCCAAGAAGCACCCTAAAACTTGGGTCCATTATATTGCTGCTGATGAGGAGGATTGGGACTATGCTCCTGCAGTCCTCCCCTCCACCGACAGGTAAGCACCTTTTGACTCTCTCCCATACTCAAAGAGTTCTTCCCAGTTATTCAAAACAACAAATTTTTAGGCCATATTTAGGGTTAGGTACATATATGGAATCAAATGGCAGGGACATTAACATGTTTGGAAACTAATATAGCTAAGCATCAGGGATGGTGCATTTTTTACTCACTCCTTTCCTTTATTAAATCATACCAACTGTTGGAGTTGAATTTCAGCCACCCATCCTTTACCTAGAATTTTCCATCCCAAACCCTCATTTTTTTTCTCTCCTACAGAAGTTATAAAAATCAATATTTAAACAATGGTACTCAGAGGATTGGTAGGAAGTACAAAAAAGTCCGATTTATTGCATACACAGATGAAACCTTTCAGACTCGTGAAGCTATTCAGTATGAATCAGGAATCCTGGGACCTTTACTTTATGGAGAAGTTGGAGACACACTGTTGGTAAGTTGAGGTAAAGATATGAGGTTGGGGAAGAAGAAACTGTTTGGAGGGTTTTGAGTTTCTAAAATACTTCATAATTCAGCCTTGTCTCTAGTGGGCATGATCTTTTAAAAATTATAAATATTACACAAATGCTGATTATACAAAATTAAATATGAGTGTATAGAATAAAAAGTTAATGGCGCCCAACAAACCTGCCACTCTTCTGAAATACGTACTGCTTAGGCTTTGATATATATATATCCTTCCAGAACTTTCCCCATTAATTATATAGTTACAAGAGTTAGCAAACTATGGCCTGTGAGCCAAATTTGGCTTGTGAACTGTTTTTTGGACAGTCTATGGCTTAGAATGGATTTTACCTTTTTTTTCTTTTTAAAAATATTTTTATTGTGCTGAAATATATAGAACAAAACATTTGCCATTTCAACCTTTTTATATGTACAGTCCAGTGACATTAATTATATTTACCATGTTGTGCAACCATCACCACTATTCATTTCCAGATTTTTATAATTTTAAATGGTTGTAAAGAAAAGAAGATGAATATGTGACAGAGACCAGATATAGCTTGCAAAACCTGCAGTATTTACTGTTCAGCCCTTACCAGAGAAGTTGTGTCAACCTCTGATCTAGTATATTAAGAATGCTTAAGCTGCAAGTAACAGAATACTCAGTGAACCATGGTTTAAACAAATAGGGGTTTATTTTTTTTCACGAGGAATTTGGTTGCATCAATTCAGCTACTCAGGAATGTCATAAAGGATGTTGGTTCTTATATGTGGAGTTCTGTTAGATACTGCCACGTTGCCTTTCAACAGTTCTGTACCAATTTATACCCCCACCAAGAGTATATATGAGTGTGCCCCTCACGCCACAACATTGTCAACAACATTTTTCCAATTTCATGAACAAATGATTTATATGCTATTGTTTTCATTTGCATTTCTCTGATTAATACTGACCCTTTACTTCACCAACATGATGTCCTTTTCTAGCAATTAGTCTTTCCTGATGACATACATAAAGTAAGCAAGTGGAGCTCTAGACTTACATCTCATTTTCAAACCCAGCAGAAAATAGAGCTTCTCTTTTTTAAGAGCTAGAACAAATTCCTGTTCCCAACTCTTATGAGCCTGAAAGGGGTCACATGCCCATTCTATTCGTGAACCAATGCTCTGATTAGCCAGGTCTGAATATGCAGGGTAGTTATTGATTTATGTAAGTTAATTGTGGCTCTGGACATTTTGCCAAATCCTTTGTTGTTGCCATTGTTAGGTATGTTCTAATACTGTAAGAATTTAAGTTTTTTTTTTGTTTGTTTTTTTATTATGGAAACTTTCAAACATACCCCAAAGTAGAAAGAATAGTAAAATAAACTGCTTTGAACCCATCATCCAGCTTCAACAGTTATCAACAAATGGCCAATCTCATTTCATCTATAAACCAACTAGACCTAACAGAAATCTATAGAACACTCCATCCAACTACAATAGAATACACATTCTTCTCAAGTTCACACTGAACATTCTCCAGAATAGACCATATATTAGGCCATAAAACAAGTCTCAATAAATCTGAAAGAAAACTACAGTTTAATATCCTTCATGAATAAATCCTCTACAAAATATTAGCAAAACAAATCTAGCAACATTTTAAAAGGAATGTATGCTATGAACAAATGGGATTTATCCCAAGAATGCAAGACTGATTTAACCCCTGAAATCAGTGCAGTGCACCGTATTAATAGAATAAAAAAACAAAAAGCACATGATCATGAAATAGGTGGAGAAAAAGGACTTGACAAAATCTACTACCCATTCATGATGAAAACTCTCAACAGACTAACGGTAGAAGGCAACGTCTTCAACCTGATTGCATTAGTTTCCTAGGGCTGCCGTAACAAATTACCATAAATGGTATGGCTTAAAACAATAGAAATTTATTCTCTCTTAGTTCTGGAGGCTAGAAGTCTGAAATTGAAGTGTTGGCAGGGTCTTGCTCTCTTTGAAGGCGCCAGAAGGGAATCTGTTCCAGGCCTTTCTCCTAACTTCTGGTGTTACTGACAATCCTTGGCATTCCTTGGCTTGTAGACCTATCACTCCCATCTCTGCCTCTATTGTCGTATGACATTCTCGCTATGTCTCTTTCTCTTATGTTTCTTCTGCTCTCCTTATAAGGACATATTGCACTAAGCGCCCACCCTGCTTCAGTATGATCTCATTTTAACTAATTACATCTGCAATGCCCCTATTTCCAAATAAGGTCACATTCTGGAGTTCCAGGAAGAACATTAATTTTGTGGGGCACTATTCAACCCAGTACACTGATAAAGAGCATCTAAGAAAAATCTACAGCTGAAATCATACGTAATGGTGAAAGGCTGTACGCTTTTCCCCTAAGGTTGGGAACAAGATAAGGAAGTCCACTTTTACAGCTTCTATTCAACATTGTACTAGACGCAAGTGCATTAAGACCAAAAAAAAAAAAAAATTAGAAACATCTGAATTAGAAAGGAAGAAATAATACTGTCTTTATTTGCAGATGATAAAATCTTGTATGTAGAAAATCCTAAGGAATGTACTAAAAAAACTATTAGAACTAATAAACAAGTTCACCAAGGTTGCAGGATACAAGGTCAGTATACAAAAATAAATTGTATTTCTATATAGTAGCAATGAACAATCCAAAACAAAGTTAAGAAAATAATTTCATGGATTAAGAACACAAATGTGCAAATTAAAACCATAAAATTCTTAGAAGAAAAAGCAGGGGCAACACTGTTAGGCCTAGATTTCAACAATGGATTATCTAATATAATAACAAAAGCACAAACAACAAAGGACAAAATAAATAAATGGGACCTCATAAAAATTAAAAACTTTTGTTCACCAAAAGGCTTTACCAAAAAATTGAAAAGACAAGCTACTGCCTGGGACAATATCTTCAGAAGCCATATATCTAACAAGAATCTAATAACCAAAACATATATAAAACTTTGACAACTTAACAACAAAAAGACAAATAACCCGATCATAAAATCAGCAGAGGACTTGAATAGACATTTCAGCAAAGAGGACGTTCAAATAGCCACCAAACACATGAAAAGATGCTCAGTGTCATTAGCCATCCAAACCAAAAAACCAAACGTATTGCCACCGAGTCGATTCCGACTCATAGTGACCCTGTAGGACAAAGTAGAACTGCCCATGGGGTTTCCAAGGAGCGACTAATGGATTCAAACTGCCGCCTTTTTGGTTAGCAGCTGAGCTCTTAACCACTGTGCCACCAGGGCTCCCATTAGTCATCAGAGAGATGCAAATCAAAAACCACAATGTGATACCGTTTTACTGCCACTAGGATGACTAAGATTGAAAAAATAAAATCAGAAAATAACAAATGTTGGCAGGGTGTGGGGAAATTGGAACAGTTACCTATTGCTGGTGGGAATGCAAAATGGTACAGCTCTTGTAGAAAACAGTGTGGCGGCTCCTCAAAAAATTAAAAATAGAATAAACATATGACCCAGCAATTCCACTCCTAAGTATATATGCAAAACACTTGGAAGTGGAGAGTCAGAAAGAGATGTGTACGCCAATGTTCATTGCAGCACTATTCACAATAGCCAAAAGGTGGAAATAACCTAAATGCCCATCAACAGATGAATGGATAAACAAATGTGATACATACATACAATGGAATACTACTCAGTCACAAAGAGAAATGAAGTCCTGATATATGGGAGGGAAAGGGAAATGGGAGGGAGGGGTTAATGGTGATGGAAATATCGTATTGATTAAGGGTGGGGTTACACAGCCGATTATTGTAATTGCTGTCGATAAGCTGTACACCTGTAAAAGGTGAACTGTCGAAAGCTGAATTTTCCAAAGTTTTGTTATTATTTACAATAATGACAAAAAGTAAATAAATAAAAAGAGTAGTTACTGAGGCTGCTTATGTACAACCAAACACCTCATGGGATTTGGTTTCTTGGTTTGGAAGTTAAGGGTTATGGTTTCATGGGACATCCCAGTTAATTGGCCTAATAATGTGTTTAGTGCTTCTGTTCTACCTCCTAGTTCATTGCACAGTGCCTGAGGTCTTAAAAGCTTGCAAACAGCCACCCAAGGCACAACCATCAGTCTCTATTTGCCTGGAACAACCGAGGAATAAGGAGAGTTAGGAATAGGAGGAGGATATGGAATGTGTGACTAACTGCCTCCATGAACAACTGCCTCCTTTTCCGTGAAGCCAGAAGAACTGGATGGTGCCCGGCTACCATTACTGAACATTTTGATCAAAGATTCCATAGAAGAATCCTGATCAAAAGAGGGGAAGTGCAGGACAGAATTTAAAATTCTCATGGACTCCAGACTTCCTGGAGCCATGAAGGTTGGATGAACCCCTGAAACTATTGCCTTGAGATAATCTTTCAACGTTAAACCAAAAATAGCCCCTGAAATCTTCTTAAAACCAAACAATAGTTTAACTAGTAAAAAAAGTCTACCTTGAGCATTATGCTCTTTTAAGAACTATCTATATGGGATCAAAGTGACCATAGCAACTCGAAAGATTAGCTAGGAACCTTTAGGGGCAGTGAATTTATGTTAACAAGGGGGGAACAACTCAGAAAAGGAGAGTGAGAATGGTTGCACAGCTCGAAGAATGTAATCACTGTCACTGAATTGTACGTGTAGAAACTGTTGAATTGCTGTATGTTTTGCTGTGTATATTCTCAGCAACGACAAAATAAAATTATATTAAAAATAGAAAATAATTTCATTCACAATAACATTAAAAATAATACAATACTTTGGAATATAACAAAACAGTGCAAGACTTTTACACTGAAAACTATTAGTCATTGTTGAGATAATTCTAGAACCTGTATGGGTTCCTTTTTTGTATATTTAGATCATTGGTCCATTTAGAGTTTATTCTTGCATATGGTATGAGTTATCAGTCCTATTATATCTTTTTTCCAAATGACTAACCAGTTGTCTTAGCACCATTTACTAAAAACATCCATCTTTGTCCCAGGGATTTGAGATATCACTTTTATCACGTATTAATTTTTATATGCACTTGTGTCTATTTCTGGATTTTTCTAGAGTAAGTTGAAACAGAGTGTAGACAACTTGAATGTGACTATAAAAAGAAGCAGAGAAATGGGATGATACCTGGAAGAGGATTTAAGATCCGGGGGGTTGTTTTCTAAATGGAAGATGCTATAATCTTATTGACAATAATGGTAACTAGTAAACAAGGAGACGTGTTGGTATTAGACTGGAGCCAGAGGCAGATTAACCAGTGAGCAAGGTATGCACAGGTTTACAGTAAGCAAGTACACACGGGCATAATTGTGTTCACTTAATAATCTGTCGTGAACGATTTCAATGGGTTTCATCACATCTTTGATGTGGTGAAAAACAGGTGAAATTGTGCACCACAAATTAGTAAGCACAAGTAAGCTGGTGCGTACCTTTGTTGTTGTTAGATGCCGTCCAGTCGGTTCCGACTCACAGTGACCCTGTGTACAACAGAACAAAACCCTGTCTGGTCCTGCAGCATCCTAACAATCATTGCTATGCTTGAGCCCATTGTTGCAGCCACTGTGTCAGTCCATCTCATTGAGGATCTTCCTCTTTTTCTCTGACTCTCTACTTAGCCAAGTATGATGTTCTTCTTCAGGGACTGGTCCCCTCCTGATAACATGTCCAAAGTATGGGAGGCTAAGTCTCATCATCCTTGCTCCTAAGGAGCATTCTGGCTGTACTTCTTCCAAGACAGATTTGTTCATTCTTCTGGCAGTCCATGGTATATTCAATATTCTTCACCAACACCATAATTCAAAGGCAGCATTTCTTCTTTGGTCTCCCTTATTCATTGTCCAGCTTTCAGATGCATATGAGGCGATTGTAAATATCATGGCTTGGGTCAGGCACACCTTAGTCCTCAAAGTGGCATCTTTGCTTTTAAACACTTTAAAGAGGTCTTTTGCAGCAGATTTGCCCAATGCAACACGTCGTTGGATTTCCTTACTGCTTCTCCCATGGGTGTTGATTGTGGATCCAAGTAAAATAAAATCCTTGACAACTTCAATCTTTTCTCTATTTATCATGATGTTACTTATTGGTCCAGTTATGAAGATTTTTGTTTTCTTTATGTTGAGGTGTAATCCATACTGAAGGCTGTGGTCTTCGATCTTCATCAGTAAGTGCTTCAAGTCTTCTTCACTTTCAGCAAGCAAGGTTCTGTCATCTGCATATTGCAGGTTGTTAATGAGTCTTCCTGCAATCCTGATGCCCCATTCTTCTTCATATAGTCCAGCTTCTCGGATTATTTGGTCAGCATACAGATTCAATAAGTATGGTGAAAATACAACCCTGACTTACAACTTTCCGATTTTAAACCACGCAGTATCCCTTTATTCTGTTAGAATGGCTGCCTCTTGGTCTATGTACAGGTTCCGCATGAGCAAAATTAAGTTTTCTGGAATTCCTATTCTTCACAATGTTATCCATAATTTGTCATGATCCACACAGTCAAATGCCTTTGCATAGTCAATAAAACACAGGTAAACATCTTTCTGGTATTCTCTGCTTTCAGCCAGGATCCATCTGACATCAGCAGTGATATCCCTGGTTCCACGTCCTCTGCTGTATCTGGCTTGAATTTCTGGCAGTTCGCTGTCGATAGACTGCTGCAGCCGCTTTTGAATGATCTTCAGCAAAATTTTACTTGCACGTGATATTAATGATGTTGTTCGATAATTTCTGCTTTCTGTTGAATCAGCTTTCTTTGGAATGGGTACAAATATGTATCTCTTCCATTCGTTTGTGTAGGAGGCTGTCTTCCAAATTTCCTGACATAGAAGAGTGAGCACCTCCAGCGCTGCATCCATTGGTTGAAATATCTCAGTGGGTATTCCGTCAATTCCTAGAGCATTGTTTTTCACTTTTCCCTTCAGTGCAGCTTGGACTTCTTCCTTCAGTACCATCAGTTCTTGATCATGTGCTATTTCTGGAAATGGTTGAATGTCAACCAGTGTTTTTTGGTACAGTGACTCTGTGCATTCCTCCCATCTTCTTTTGATGCTTCCTGCGTCTTTTAAGTATTTTTCCCTGTAGAATCCTTCAATATTGCAGCTTGAGGCTTGACTTTTTCCTTCAGTTCTTTCAGCTTGAGAAATGCTGAGTGTGTTATTCCTTTTTGGTTTTCTAACTCCGGGTCTTTGCACATGTCATTATAATACTTTACTTAGTCTTCTCAAGCCACCCTTTAAAATCTTCTGCTCTTTTACTTCATCATTATTTTTTGTTTTGTTTTGCTTTTCTTTTTTTTTTTTAACTTCATCATTTCTTCCTTTCACTTTGTCTACTCTACGTTCAAGAGCAAGTTTCAGAGTGTCTTCTAACATCCATTTTGGTCTTTTCTTTCTTTCCTGTCTTTTTAAGGACCTTTTGCTTTCTTCATGTATAATGTCCCTGATGTCATCCTACAACTCGTCTGATCTTTGGTCATTAGTGTTCAATGCCTCAAATCTATTCTTGAGATGGTCTCCAAATTCAGATGGGATATACTCAAGATCATGTTTTGGCTCTCGTGGTCTTATTCTAATTTTCTTCGGCTTCAATTTGAACTTGCAAGCAAGCAATTGATGATCTGTTCTGCAGTCATCCCTGGCCTTGTTCTTGCTGATGATATTGAGCTTTCCATTGTCTGTTTCCACAGATGTAGTTGATTTGATTCCTGTATATGCCATCTGGCTAGGTCCACGTGTATACCAAAACCAAACCTGTTGCCGTCGAGTCGATTCTGACTCATAGTGACCCTATAGGACAGAGTAGAACTACCCCATAGGGTTTCCGAGGAGCTGCTGGTGGATTCGAATTGCTGACCTTTTGGTTAGCAGCCGAACTCTTAACCACTGCACCACCGCCGTTTATATTGTTGAAACAAGGTATTTGCAATGAAGAAGTTGTTGGTCTTGCAAAATTCTGTCTTGTGATCTCCGGTGTCATTTGTATCACCACAGCCGTATTTTCCAACTACCTGTCCTTCTTCTTTGTTTCCAACTTTTGCATTCCAATTACCAGTAATTATCAATGCATCTTGATTGCGTGTTTGATCCATTTCAGACTGCAGAAGTTGGTAAAAATCTCCAATTTCTTCCTCTTTGACATTAGTGGTTGGTGCATAAATTTGATTAATAGTCGTATTAACTCGTCTTCCTTGTGGGCGTATATATATTATCCTACCCCTGACAGCACTGTACTTCAGGATAGATCTCAAAATGTTCTTTTTGTCGATGAATGCAACACCGTTGCTCTTCAAGTTGTCATTCTGGGCATAGTAGACCGTATGATTGTCCAACTCAAATGGCCAATACCAGTCCATTTCAGCTCACTAATGCCTAGGATATCGATGTTTGTGCGTTCCATTTCATTTTTGACAGTTTCCAATTTTCCTAGATTTATACTTCGTACATTCCACATTCCAGTTATTAATAGTGTTTGCAGCTGTTCCTTCTCATTTTGAGTTGTGCCACCTCAGCAAATGAAGATCCTGAAAGCTCAACTCCAACCATGTCATTAAGGTCGACTTTACTTTGAGGAGGCAGCTCTTCCCCAGTGGTATTTTGGGCGCCTTCCAACTTGAGGGGGTCATCTTCTGGCAGTATGCCAGACAATATCCCTCTGCTATTTGTAAAGTTTTCACTGGCCAATTGTTTCAGAAGTAAACTGCCAGGTCCTTCTTCCTAGTCTGTCTTAGTATGGAAGCTTCACCGAAACCTGTCCACCATAGGTGACCCTGCTGGTGTTTGAAATACCGGTGCTAACACTTCCAGCATCACAGCAAAATGCAAGCCACCACAATAAGATAAACTGACAGATGCGTGGGGGTGTGTACCTGGCTTATGGGTAGTCCGTCCCTGATTTGGAGCTGATTTTAACAGGAAGGAATATGACCATATATGCATGTAGGTGGGGAGATTTGAATGTGGGAAGATGAGACAGTTCCATTCTGATCGTTTCTCTTTTCTCAGTGAAAAAAAAGAAGCATCTGAGAGTGACGAGGAGCAAGCAAATATTAAATAATCAACTAAGGAGTTGGGAAGGTGAATTTATAGGCAAGCGTTATAGGATAACTAGGTAGTTTGAGTGTTCATTTGAGATCTGTGGTCATGAATTTAAAGAGGCTAGTTGCAGAGCTGTGTGATTTTTCTCCTAGCATATTCTGCTGCTCAGGTGCAGGCAAGGAATTGGTTGATTAGCGGGTTTGGGTGAGTGTGATGTAAGACAAGTGGAAGTTGGTTTTTACCTTCATCTCACACAACCTCAGATCTAGAGGTGGAGTTGAATTCGTCAGGCTTCCTAACTGCTGCTTCCATGCCATTTCTCTTCATTCTTCCTATTTAAAGCTCATACAATCAGACAATGCCACCTGCCAACTCTTGTTCAATACTATAAAAAACTGTCCTCCTGGTGATTCTTGCTCATTTGGTGAAGATTTATCACCTGAATCACTGTCTCCCTCTCCACTCTTGGGGAACTCAATTCCAAATGGCTGAGGGGAAAGAGTGTCCTCAGCAGACATCCAATATCAGTGTGAGAAGGTGCAGGGAATATTTCCTGAAGCAATTGAAATACTTTTTTTTTTAAATGAAAGGGGATTTTAGTGAGAAACCTGAATAGCTGTCTGGGCAATTTTATGAAAGGAACAAATATTTTGAGCTTTATCTTGACTCAAACCTCTATAGTGTGGATATAGGGAGATTTTTTTGTTTTTTCCTGGAGATACACCATACTTTTCTTGTTGATCCTAGTTGTCTTAGAACTTGATCTTATGTATCATTTATACTTTCAGATTATATTTAAGAATCAAGCAAGCCGACCATATAACATCTACCCTCATGGAATCACTAATGTCAGTCCTTTGCACCCAGGGAGATTACCAAAAGGTAAGTATTACCCTGGTTTTTATAGTTCTTACCTGTAGACACAAATGAGGTCACAGCATCAATACTAAGATTTTGCCGGTTCTTGACCCCAGCTATTGACATAGGACCTCCTGTCCCAGTCTAAAGTCATACCAAATCAATTCTAGGAATCCTCCGGGGGTGTGTCATGTAAGTTAGTTAAGAGTCCCCTGATGTACTTTTGATATTACCTACTGGTGATGTTTAAATGTTGCACAGCCAATAAAGTTGGCACCTCTCCACTGCCAGTGTCCTAAAAGTCGAAGCTAGGTCTTCCGGCAAAAAATCCTTGTCTGTTTCTCTTATACCATTCTATCAGCCTGTTAAGTGAATGTGGTTTAACTGCATACTTACCTTTTCATTTCTAATTTCGCTTGTGGTTTTTTCTTTGATCCATAGTTTTTTTGTAATTATGTTTTTAGACTTTCAAACATTTGTGGTTTTCCTAATGTGTTTTTGTTATCAGTATATAATTTAATTCCTCTGTGGTCAGAGGACATAGTCTGTATGATTTGAATCATTTAAGCATATTGGCATTTGCTTTATGACCCAGAATACGGGTCTAGCTTGGGGAACATTCCATGTACATTTGAAAATATTTGTATTTTTCAGTTGTAGGATATAGTGTTCTATAACCACAAATAAGGTCAAGGTAATTGATTGTGTTGTTCAGATAATCTATGCCTTTACTGATTTGTTTTTTGCTAGTCGTTCTATCAACCACTGAGAGGAGTATTAAAATTTTATTCTTCATTGAATTGTCTATTTCTCCTTTTAATTCTGTCAAATTTTCTTCAAGTATTTTGAAGCTCTATTATTAGCACATACATATTTATGATTGTTATATCTTTTGACGAATGAACGCTTTTTGCATTTATGCCTTCAACTTGTAACGTGCTTTGTCTTAAAGTCCATTTTATCTGATTTTAATATAGCCGCTCCAGCCTTTTTTCTTGTATGCATCTTTGTCTACCCGTTTACTTTCAATATGTCTGTGTCTTATATTTAAAATACATCTCTTGTACTGTATTGTTGGGTCTTGCTTTTTTATGGCGTTTGCATGGGAACCTCAGCACCGCATAGTTCCCTGACATAAGAGATGCTGACTTCAGTTTTCCTCCGGCAACACCTTTCCCTTTCCACTCAGCTTCACCCCCAGCTCCCAGAAGAGGGAACAGAAGTAGGCTGAGAAATATTGAAAGAATGCATCATGCTACTCACTTTCTATAGGTTCCCTAACCATAGGTCAGTCTTAACCTAATGGTGGTAGGGAAGCTCTTGGAATGGACATAAAATGAAAATTTTTATTTAGACTGGATCTTCAGTTATTAAACATACCCCAAAGTGAGTTTTAATTACCAAAATTAGACAGTTCTTGCTCTGAGACCCATTAGCCTGGGGGCAGCTCTTCATTCTTGCTCCTATTGTAAAAAAAAAAAAATACGTGAACCCTAAAGTTATAACATGTGCAATTTAGTTTCCATTTATTGAGAAATGTTATATGTATATATAAATTTGTTGATCCCTTGCAATAACAGGATTGCCAGTATGTGGCTTGTTATACTCTAATTGAGCTATTTCTGGGTTTGGATATGGTTAGGTGTGAAACACTTGAAGGATTTTCAGATTATGCCAGGAGAGATATTCAAGTATAAATGGACAGTGACTCTAGAAGATGGGCCAACTAAATCAGATCCTCGGTGCCTGACACGATACTACTCTAGCTTCATTAATCTGGAGAGAGATCTTGCTTCGGGACTCATTGGCCCTCTCCTCATCTGTTACAAAGAATCTGTAGATCAAAGAGGAAACCAGGTGAGCTCTTTCGTTTCCCAGTGTTGGGTTTGAAGCTAAAAATGGAATGATGATGCAGCTGAACTTCCAATAATATTTCCTATACTCTCTCAGCATTTGTCCCCCTATAGACTGCAGAAAATATAGCAGCAGAAATATAGGCTAATAAAAGAAATGAGCCGGGGCTCTCTTAGCCTTTATTGAACGTGTGTTTGGTGTAATAAACTTGCTTGCTGGATGGATAGGAGAGCCTGGGCTCTAGATTATTTCTAATATTCTCATTCCCAATCTGGGATTTAGCTTTCTCTAGGTGATCTTGCCTATTTTTCCATCTTCAATTACCACCTATTTTTAGATGGCCCACAAATTTATATCTACAGCCTAGACTCCTCCTCTGGACATCTCATTATGAGGGACCCCAAGGCACCTCAAAATTAACATGTCACCAGCATCTAGCATAGTGCATGGCATTTAGTAGGAACTCAATAAATATTTGTTGAATGAAAGACAGGGAAAGATATAAAATATTTCAGAATTATTTGAATTTAATATGGTTAGAACTTGAACAACATCTGCTAATTAAAGAAAGAAAAAAACGAAAGTTAAATTCTCTGAACAAAAACTCATTGCTTAGGTCCAGCATAACTCATAGCTAAGGCTTGACTAGGGGCTCTGGTGTCACAGTGGTTAAATGCTCAGCTGCTAACTGAAAGTTTGGGGGTTTGGCCCCACCAGCCGCTCTGTGGGAAAATGATGTGGCAGTCTGCTTCTGTAAAGATTTCAGCCTTGGAAACCCTGTGGGGCAGTTCTAGTTTGTCCTATAGGGTCGCTATGAGTCGGAATAGACTCTACGGCAATGGGTTTGGTTTTTGGTTTTAAGGCTTTACTGCATGTCCTTTTGGTTATTTATGATACATAGGATCCCTACTCATTTGAAAAGTCTTTTAACTAACATTTCATTGGTTTAGAGAGTAAAGTACATGAACTTTAGTGCAGTTGAAACATGTGGCACGCAAACCTGGAAAGGCATAAATCTGGCCAAGGCCTCATCCTGACAAATGTTTCCTAATTAAAGTTTCCCCACCATTTTTTGGAAAAAGAGTGAAATGTACCTTATAGTCCCCCATCTCCTCCCCTCAAGCGTTTTCGTTATTGCTGCTATGTTGTTGTTAGTTGCCACTGAGTCATCCCCCAACTCTTGACAACCCCACGTACAATGGAACGAAACACTGCCTGGCTGATTTTCAGAAGAAAATTGCCAGGGTCTCCCACACGGAAGTCGAGAATTCTACCACTGAACCACCACTCCCTTTGTAACTATAAAACCAAACCCACTGCCGGCAAGTCGATTCCAACTCACAGAGACCCTATAAGACAGAGTAGAACTGCCCCGTAGGATTCCAAGGCTGTAAAGCTTTACTGAAGCAGACTGCTACATCTTTCTCCATTGGAGCAGTTGGTGGGTTTGAACGCCTACCCTTCTGTTACCAGCTGAGCTCTTTAACCACTGCGCCACCAGGGCTCCTTCGAAACTATACCCGAAAAACCAAACCCATTCCCAACAAGTTGGTTCCTACTCATAGCGACCCTATAGGACAGAGTAGAACTGCCCCGTGGGGTTTCCAATGAGCAGCTGGTGGACCTTTTGGTTAGCAGCCGTAGCTCTTAACCACTGCACCACCAGGACTCCTTGTAGCTCTGGGTTATAAAAAAAGAAATTTATACACATTAGTGAGGTTTACACATTAAATCTTATCTGGTTCAGTTAGCAAGTGACTAATTCACAAATTTGGTTTATATACAAACTGATCTTCTGAAAAAATTAAAGCATTTTCAAAACACCAGACTTAGGGTATTAATTTTTTTTTTTTTTTAAACTCTTTATTGTACTTTAGTTGAAGTTTTACGGAGCAAAGTAGTTTCTCATTAAACAATTAAAACACATTGTTTTGTGACATTTGTTGCCAACCCCACGACATGTCAACACTGTCCCTTCTCGACTTTGGGTTCCCTATTACCAGCTTTCCTGTCTCCTCCTACCTTCTTGTCCTTGCGCCTGAGCTGGTGTGCCCATTTAGTCTCGTTCTGTTTTATGAGGCTGTCTAATCTTTGGCTGAAGGGTGAACCTCAGGAGTGACTTCACCACTGAGCTAAAAGGTGTCTGGGAGTATGGAATACTCTCAGGTTTCTCCAGTGTCTGTCAGGCCAGTAAGTCTGGTCTTTTTTGTGAGTTAGAATTTTGTTCTACATTTTTCTCCAGCTCTGTCCGGAACCCTCTGTTGTGATCCCTGTCAAAGCAGTCAGTGGTGGTAGCTGGGAACCATCTAGTTGTACTGGACTCAGTCTGGTGGAGGACATAGTAGTTGTGGTCTGTTAATCCTCTGGACTAATCTTTCCCTTGTATCTTTAGTTTTCTTCATTCTCCCTTGCTCCCGAAGGAGCGAGACTAGTGGGGTATCTTAAATGGCTGCTCACAGGCTTTTAAGACCCCAGATGCTACTCACCAAAGTAGAATGTAGAACATTTTCTTTATAAACTATGTTATGCCAACTGAGCTAGATGTTCCCCTAGACCATGGTCCCCAGCTCTCAGTTAGTAATACGGTCGCTCAGGAAGTTTGGATGTGTCTGTGGAGCTTCCATGACCTTGCCTTGGACAAGTTGTTCAGCCTTCCCCAGTATTGTGTACAGTCTTAGCCTTCACCAAAGTTACCACTTATCTGTTGTCTATTTAGTGTTTTTCATCCCCTCCCCTCCCCTCTCTTGTAACCATCAAAGATTGTTTCTTTGTGTATAAACCTTTTCATGAGTTTTTATAGTACTGGTCTCATACAATATTTGTCCTTTTGTGATTGACTTACTTTACTCAGCATAATTGCCCTCCAGATTCATCCATGTTGTGAGAAGTTTTGCCGATTCATAATTGTTCTTTATTGTTGCGTAGTACTCCATTGTGTGTATGTACCATAATTTGTTTATCCATTCATCTATTGATGGGCATCTAGGTTGTTTCCATCTTTTTGCTATTGTGCACAATGCTTCAGTGAACATGGGTGTGTCTATGTCTATTAGTGTGACGACTCTCATTTCTCTAGGATATATTCCTAGGAGTGGGATTGCTGGATCATATGGTATTTCTATTTCTAGCTTTTTAAGGAAGAGCCATATCGTTTTTCAAAATGGTTGTACTATTTTACCTTCCCACCAGCAGGGCATAGGAGTTCCAAGCTCCCTGCAGCCTTTCCAACATTTGTTATTTTGGTTTTTTGATTCGTGCCAGTAATGCCGGGGTGAGATGGTATCTCACTGTAGTTTTGATTTGCATTTCTCTAATGACTAGTGATCTCGAGCATTTCCTCATGTGTCTGTTAGCTGCCTGAATGTCTTCTTTGGTGAAGTGTCTGTTCATATCATTTGCCCATTTTTAAATTGGATTATTTGTCTTTTGTTGTAGAGGTGTTGGATTTTCCCATAGATTTAAGAGATTAGACCTTTGTCCGATTTGTCATAGCCAAAAATTTCTTTCCCAGTTTGTAGGTTCTTTTTTACTCTTTTGGTGACGTCTTTTGATGAACATAAATGTTTAATTTTTAGAAAATCCCAGTTATCTAGCTTATCTTCTGGTGTCTGTGTACTGTTGGTTATAGTTTGTATGCTATTTATGCCATGTATTAGGACCTCTAGCATCGACCCTATTTTTTCTTCTATGATCTTTATAGTTTTTGATTTTATATTTAGGTCTTTGATTCATTTTGAATTAACTTTTGTGTATGGTGTGAAGTATGGGTTCTGTTTCATTTTTTTTACAGATGGACATCCAGTTTTGCCAGCACCATTTGTTAAAAAGACTGTCTTCTCCCCATTTAATGGACTTTGGGCTATTAATGTAGTTTAATGGATTTAGTCACCCTCTTGCCCTGAAGATGCATTTGCTCTAAACACATACTCACAGCTCATAGCACCCACCTCCACTGCCAGGCCCAGATACATGCCACAGTAGTAACCATAGGAGGAAACTGACTGAACCAAAAAGGATTATAGATATATCATGTGCATGCCGTTGCTTCCATCATAGACTGCTAATTTCTACCTGACGATACCAACTGCGTTTCTTTCCCCCTTTCAATACTTGCAATTAACAGATGATGTCAGACAAAAGAAATGTCATCCTGTTTTCTGTATTTGATGAGAACCAAAGCTGGTACCTCACAGAGAATATGCAGCGCTTCCTCCCCAATGCAGCAGGAGTGCAGCCCCAGGATCCAGAGTTCCAAGCCTCCAACATGATGTACAGTGAGTAAAGCAGCACTCAAATCCAATGGGTAATAGATAAAAGGAAATTGATGCCACCAAGCTTGATGTCCAGATAATTAATGAATTTATATGCTATGCAAGAGTCATATTTCTTTTCAAAATTGTTGCATACAAACATATATATTTTACATAAATATATAAACGTGACCACATAATGCATATCTTTAAAATACATCCATTATTTTTCCTTTCATTAGTTGTTTGGCTTCCCCTTCCCTTTTATCTTCTCATCTTTCATGCTGCACCTTTCCATCAGCCATTCTGTGTCCAGGTAGCACATGTTAAAACATATTTTCTCTATGATTACGTAATCATATATAAACACACACATACATATATATACATGGATTAGTTTCTGGACTCTATATTCTATATTTGTCTATTCCTGCAATGAGACCACATTTTAAATTAAAATAGTTATATAATATCTCCTAACACCTTGTAGGGCAAGGAACTTTGGTTCTTAATCACTTGCACTAAGCTAGTGTCTGAGAATACCAGAAAGATGTTTACCTGTTTTTTATTGGCTATGCAAAGGCATTTGACTGTGTGGATCATAACAAATTATGGATAACAATTAAGCATTCCAGAACTTAATTGTGCTCATGAGGAACCTGTACATAGACCAAGAGACAGTCGTTGGAACAGAACAAGGGGATACTGCATGGTTTAAAGTCAGGAAAGTTGTGCATCAGAGTTGTATCCTTTCACCATAGTTATTCAATCTGTATGCTGAGCAAATAATCTGAGAAGCTGGACTCTATGAAGAAGAACAGGGCATTAGGATTGGAGGAAGAGTCAACAGCTTTTGATATGCAGATGACACAACCTTGCTGAAAGTGAAGAGAACTTGAAGTGCACTTACTGATGAAGACCAAAGACTACAGCCTTTAGTATGGATTACACCTCACCATAAAGAAAACAAAAATCCTGACAACTGGACCAACAAGCAACATCGTGATAAATGGAGAAAATATTGAAGTTGTCAAAGATTTCATTTTACTTGGATCCACAATCAACGCCCATGGAAGCAGCAGTCAAGAAATCAAAAGACCCATCGCATTGGGCAAATCTGCTGCAAAAGACCTCTTTAAGGTGTTGAAAAGCAAAATGTCAAGTTGAAGACTAAGGTGCGCCTGACCCAAGCCATGGTCTTTTCAGTCGCCTCGTATACATGTGAAAGTTGGACAATGAATAAGGAAGACCAAAGAAGAATTGATACCTTTGAATTACCATGTTGGTGAAGAATATATAGCCAGAATGCTCCTTAGAAATGAGGATGACGAGATTTCGTCCCACGTACTTTGGACATGTTATCAGGAGGGACCAGCCCCCCAGAGGACATCATGCTTGGTAAAGTAGAGGGTCAGCAAAAAGCGGAAGACCCTCAATGAGATGGATAGACACAGTGGGCTGCAACAATGGGATCGAACACAGCAATGATTGTGAGGATGCCACAGGACCAGGCAGTGTTTCATTCTCTTGTACATAGGGTCGCTATGAGTTGCAAACAACTTGATGACACCTAACAACAACAACATACCTGTGTGGCACAAACAGTTAAACACTTGACTACTAGCCAGAAGATTGGCGGTTCGAACCCACCCAGAGGTGACTCAGAAGACAGCCCTGGCCATCTGCTTTTGAATGGTCAAACCAAACCAAACCTGTTGCGGTGGAGTCGATTCAGACTCAAAGTGACCCTATAGGACAAAGCAGAACTGCCTCATAAGGTTTCCAAGGAGCGGCTGGTAGACTCGAACTGCCAACCTTTTGGTTAGCAGCCGAGCTGTTAACCACTGCACCACCAGGGCTCCTTCGAAAGGTCACAGCCTTGAAAACCCTTTGGAGCAGTTCTACTCTGCACACACGGGGTTGCCATGAGTCAGAATCACCTTGTCGGCAGCTAACAACAACAAACTTTTTTGGAAGTATCTCTTCTCGAGAGTGAAATGATGAGCGTATCACTTCAAATCATATCATGATAATCCAAAGTAATGAATTTGAGGTGCTGCTAAAACTTCTTGTTCTCCATTGCTTTTGCAGGCATCAATGGCTATGTTTTTGATAACTTGCAGTTGTCCGTTTGTTTGCATGAAGTGGCATACTGGTACATTCTAAGTGTTGGAGCCCAAACCGACTTTCTGTCTGTCTTCTTCTCTGGATATACCTTCAAACACAAAATGGTCTTTGAAGACACACTTACCCTATTCCCATTCTCAGGAGAAACTGTCTTCATGTCAATGGAAAACCCAGGTCAGTTATTTATATTTATAAATATAACCCATTATATTAGTTATCTATATTATATTTATAAAAACATACGTTAATTACATATATTATATTTATAAAAACTCAAGTTGTTGTTGTTGTTGTTCTTAGGTGCCGTCAAGTCAGTTCCTACTCATAGTGAACGAAACACTGCCCGGTCCTGCGCCATCCTCACACTCGTTGCTGTGTTTGAGCCCATTGTTGCAGCCACCGTGTTGATCCACCTCTTTGAGTGTCTTCCTCTTTTTCTCTCACCCTCTACTTTACCAAGCATGATGTCCTTCTCCAGGGACTGATCCCTCCTGATAACACGTCCAAAGCACGTGAGACAAAGTCTCACCATCCTTGCTTCCAAGGAGCATTCTGGCTGTACTTCTTCCAAGATAGATTTGTTCATTCTTCTGGCAGTCCACGGTATATTCAATATTCTTCACCACCACCGTAATTCAAAGGCATCAGTTCTTCTCTGGTCTTCCTTATTTATTGTCCAGCTTTCACATGCATATGAGGCAACTGAAATATCATGCTTTGGGTCAGGTGCACCTTCGTCCTCAAAGTGACATCTTTGCTTTTTAACGCTTGAAAGAGGTCTTTTGCTGCAATTTACCCAATGTAATACTCGTTTGAGTTTTTGACTGCTGCTTCCATGGGTGCTGATTGTGGATCCAGGTAAAATGGAATCCTTGACTTCAATCTTTTCTCCGTTTATCTTAATGTTGCTTATTGGTCCAGTTATGAGGATTTTTGTTTCTTCATGTTGATGTGTAATCCATGCTGGAGGCTGTGGTCTTTGATCTTCATCAGTAAGTATTTCAAGTCCTCTTCACTTTCAGCAAGCAAGGTTGTGTCATCTGCATGACTCAGGTTGTTAATGAGTCTTCCTCCAATCCTGATGCCACGTTCTTCTTCATATGGTCCAGCTTCTTGGATTGTTTGCTCAGCATACAGATTGAATATGTGTGGTGAAAGAATACAACCCTGATGCACACCTTTTTGATTTTAAACCATGCAGTATCCCCTTGAATGACTGCCTCTTGTTCTATGTATAGGTTCCTCATGGGCACAATTAAATGTTCTAGAATTCCCATTCTTCGCAATGTTATCCATAATTTGTTATGATCCACACAGTCAAATGCTTTTGCATAGTCAATAGAACACAGGTAAACATCTTTCTGGTATTCTCTGCTTTCAGCCAAGAGTCATCTGACATCTGCAATATTATCCTTCTTTCCACATCCTCTTCTGAATCCAGCTTGAATTTCTGGCAGTTCCCTTTTGATGTACTGCTGCAACCGTTTTTGAATTATCTTCAGCAAAATTTTACGTGTGTGTGATATTAATGGTATTTCCCCATTCTGTTGGATCACCTTTCTTTGGAAAAGTGGACACAAATATGGATCTCTTCCAATCGGTTGCGCAGGTAGCTGTCTTCCAGAAATTTCATGGCATAGATGAGTGAGCGCTTGCAGCATTGCATCCATTTGTTGAAACATCTCAATTGGTATTCCGTCAGTTCCTGGAGCCTTGTTTTTTGCCAGTGCCTTCAGTGCAGCTTGGACTTCTTCCTTCAGTACTATTGGTTCTTGATTTTATTCTGCCTCCTGAAATGGTTGAACGTCTACCATTTCTTTTGGGTACAGTGACTCTCTGTATTCCTTCCATCTGCTTTGATGCTTCCTGTGTCCTTCAATATTTTGCCCATAGAATCCTTCAACATTACAACTCGAGGTTTGAATTTTTTCTTCAGTTCTTTCAGCGTGAAAAATGCCGAGTGTGTCCTTCCCTTTCGGTTTTCTAACTCCAGGTCTTTGCACATTTCACTGTAAAACTTTACTTTGTCTTCTGGAGCTGCCCTTTGAAATCTTCTGTTCAGCTCTTTTACATCATTTCTTCCATTTGCTTTAACTACTCTATGTTCAAGAGCAAGTTTCAGAGTCTGTTCTGACATGCATTTCTTTTCTTTCTTTCCTATCTTTTTAATGACCTCTTGCTTTCTTCACATATGATGTCCTTGATGTCATCCCACAACTCACCTGGTCTTCAGTCATTAGTGTTCAATGCATCAAATCTGTTCTTGAGATGGTCTCTAAATTCACGTGGGATATACTCAAGGTCGTACTTTGGCTCTAGTAGACTTGTTTTAATTTTCTTTAGGTTAGTTATTTATATTATACTTTCACCATAATATTATAGTATAGTAATACTATATGCTTCACTAGCCATTCATATGCTCTTTTGCCCACTAGCTCACATTTGGGCAGATAATTAAACAGTTCAAGTGATTTGGTAAGTGCAAGGTATTTTAATGACAGTACAAACTCTATATTTAACTTAAAAGTCTTTGCTGTAAAAAGTGCCTTTATTTGCCATAGGCTAAAGTTTTAAGTATCCTCACAACTGGACCAATAAGCAACATCATGATAAATGGAGAAAAGATTCAAGTTGTCAAGGATTTCATTTTACTTGGATCCACTATCAACACCCATGAAAGCAGCAGTCAAGAAATCAAAAGACGCATTGTATTGGGAAAATTTGTTGCAAAAGACCTCTCTAAAGTGTTGAAAAGCAAAGATGTCACTTTGAGGACGAAGGTGCACCTGACCCAAAGCATGATATTTCAGTTGCCTCATATGCATGTGAAAGCTGGACAATAAATAAGGAAGACCAGAGAAGAATTGATGCCTTTGAATTACGGTGGTGGTGAAGAATATTGAATATACCGTGGACTGCCAGAAGAATGAACAAATCTATCTTGGAAGAAGTACAGCCAGAATGCTCCTTGGAAGCAAGGATGGTGAGACTTTGTCTCACGTGCTGTGGACGTGTTATCAGGAGGGATCAGTCCCTGGAGAAGGACATCATGCTTGGTAAAGTAGAGGGTGAGAGAAAAAGAGGAAGACACTCAAAGAGGTGGATCAACACGGTGGCTGCAACAATGGGCTCAAACACAGCAACGAGTGTGAGGATGGCGCAGGACCGGGCAGTGTTTCATTCTGTTGTACACAAGGTCTCTATGAGTCGGAAGCGGTTCCACGACATCTAACAACAACTATCCAAAAGCTGACCACATCTCAACACTTCTACTGCTACCACCCTGGTCCTTTTGACTCAGTGTCAGTTAATCAAGATCAAGTATGTGAATCTTCCTAAACTATTTTCTTTGTATGGTGCTCAACTTCTAAGCACACTGACAGGACTTCCTCTCTAATTTTTACAGGCAGTCTCCAGATTACGAACAAGTTCTGTTCCTAAATCTGTCTTTAAGTTAAATTTGTACATAGAACAGTTAGGTACGGTTCATATCTAACGTCAGTTAGTCAAATGTTTATCTTAGTATATAGTATATGGTGTACCTTTCTATGCATTAAAAAACATTAAAGAAACACTTCCAGATACACTAAAACATCTTTAACACAATAATACAGTAATAATAATAATAACAATATTTTGATGCGCATTGCAAAGTAGCGCTCATTTGTTATTATGAACCATTGTATGTACCTCAAATTTTTAATAAAGTAGGCTTTGCGGGGGTTGTACGAAGTCAGACGTTAGTAGCCCAGGGACTGCCTATAAATTTCTTCACACTATACAGGAGCCCTGGTGGTGCAGTGCTTAAGCACTCGGCTACTAACTGAAAGATCAGCAGTTCAAACCCACCAGCCACTCCGAAGAGAAAGATGTGGCAGTCTGCTTCCGTAAAGATTTACAGCCTGGGAAACCCTATGGGGCAATTCTACTGTGTCCTATAGGGTCATTATGAGTCAGAATCCACTCTACAGCAACAGGTATTCACACTATGGTGTTAATAACTGATGATGAATCCTAGAGGTGACTGTCTTTTTTAAAGGACAGAAACTTAAAAGTAGATCTGTAATGGTAGAGTGTCAGTTTCAGTGGTTGTTAGAGGAGATGGGAAGTGAGATATTTTGTTTTGTTTTTCCTTTGAATCTGTTTTAATTCCAGCAGTTAAAAATAAACATTCTTTGAACCTAAGGACCTAAAATTTCTCCCCAAACTCCAAGCTATTTGATCTGTCTTCCCTCAACAAAGCATAAGTGGCAGGTGAGATAGACATCCTCTCCTTCTCCACAAAGGCTCATCCACTCACGTCCTTGGGGACAAGACTAGTAGATTAAAGTATCTCTAATCACATTTTCTGCCTTTGACAGGTCAGTGGTGGCAAGTCTTATCTCAAATGTTCTTTCTTTTTTTTTTTTTACTTTGCAAAGCATAAAGAATTGAATACTAACTGATTTGTTTTCTTTTTTAATTGTGCTTTAGGTTAAAGTTTACAGAGCTAATTAGTTTCTCATTAAACAGTCAATACACATTGTTTTGTGACATTGGTTGCCAACCCCGTGATGTGTCAACACTCGCCCCTTCTCGACCTTGGCTTGCTCATTTCCATTAATCTAGTTTTCCTATCCTCTTCTGCCTTCCCGCTTTTGCTCCTGGGCTGGTGTGCCGCTTCAGTCCTATAAACATGGCTGAACTATAGGACGTTCTATAGGCTGGTCCAATCCTTGGCCAAAGGGTGAACATCAGGAATGACTCCAGTACTGAGTTAAAAAGGCGTCCAGGTGTCATGCTCTTGGGGTTTCTCTAGTCTCTGTAAGTCTGGTCTTTTTTTGTGAGTCAGAATTTTGTTCTACATTTATCTCCAGCTCTGTCCAGGA